GAACACACTGGTATGTTTTCTTCATGCCTTTCTCCATTACAGCCTGATTCCTTCACACTTTTTTATTAATGGTGGAAACCTTTTACCATACAAGTAATGCAGAGAATAGTATTATAAAACCCAGGTACCAGCTCCAATTATTATTATATAATAATATTATATAATATTATATTATAATATATAATATATAATAATAATATAATATATAATATAATATTATAATATTATATAATATTATATTATATAATAATCCAATTATATAATTATTGATATATGGAGAATATTTTTTACCTGTGTCCTCCTTTCCTTTGGTAGAGTTTTCTTTTTCCCAACTTTATTGAGCTATAATTGACATGGGTAGAGTTTTTTGTTTGTTTGTTTTTGGCTGTGTTGGGTCTGCATTGCTGCGCGTGGGCTTTCTCTAGTTGTGGTGAGCGGGGCTACTGTTCGTTGTGGTACGCGGGCTTCTCATTGCAGTGGCTTCTCTTGTTGTGGAGCACGGGCTCTAGGCGCACGGGCTTCAGTAGCTGTGACTGGCGGACTCTAGGTCTCAGGCTCAGTAGTTTTGGCGCACGGGCTTAGCTGCTCCGCCCCATGTGGGATCTTCCCAGACCAGGGCTCGAACCCGTGCCCCCTGCATTGGCAGGCTGGCTCTTAACCACTGCACCACCAGGGAAGCCCCAACATGGGTAGTTTTTTGAAGCTAATCAAGGGCATCATACCAGTTAATCTTAAATACTTCATGAAGGAGATATAAACTTTTCCATGATTACCATATCATGGTCACGCCTAGCAACATTAATACTAATGTCCCAGAAAGCAGGTTGTCAAATGGCCTTTTCAATTTGACCAGATCCCCAAACGCTAACATTCTCTATCGCAAACTGGTAGTGTCAGTTGTTGACTTTGTAGACCAACCTGTGATGGCCACCCTCATAAATGACCCAGAGCCCCTCCCATTCCAACAGATTCCCGGCCTGCCTTCTGCCTGGAACCTCATCACACGGGTCCCTGCAGGGCCCGGAAGATCAGGTACTTCTACAATGCCAAGTCCGGGCACTGCGACATCTTTGTATATGGCGGCTGCTTTGCAAAGAAGAACAACTTCCCAACAGCACAAGACTGCATGAAGACCTGCGGTGGTCATGTGGGGACCCACGGGTAAGAAAGGGGGCAGGACACGGTGGGAGGGGAAGGGCTGGGGAAAGAGATGGCGCTCAGGGGGCCACCCACCATTCACACCTGCACAGTGTCTTTCCTCCTCGCTGCCTCCCAGGACTGCAGTGTCCTGTGAAACCACACACTGAGCACATCCTCCATGGGCCAGCTTGGCAGAAGGTCACACCTAGAAGCCCTGTCATGATAATCTGAGCCTCCTCACATGCTCCCCTTTTCTCAGATGGGAACACTGAGTCAGCCACCCTACAGAGCAGGTCTGCCCAGCTCCTGAGCTCCCCACCTAGGCTTGGAAACTCACTTCCTTCTTGTTGGTCATTCCGGTTCTGGAGTGGACTTTGGCTGCATATTTCTGGGAAAGTCTAGGATCTGTCGAGATGAGCGGTGTCCAGGTCTGGGGCTTCAGAGATGTCAATCAGCAAGTTCCTTTCTTTTTGCAGAGGACCTGCGAACTGTGCTCTCCCGAAACTCTGAAGTCAAGGAGGACACACACAGGGCTGGGCTGTGGCTGCTTCTGAAACAGTGTGATCTCCTCTGAGTCTGTCTCAACCCCACCCACCTCAGCAGAACCCTGGCTCTCTCCTTCCCCCATGGGTCTACTTGCTTTAGCTCTGTCTCATCCAGTCGGCTCTAAGCACCATGAGAACAAGTCTTCCCTTTATCCTTAGCACTTAGCACAGTTCCTGGCACGAAGGAGATGGTCCATAATTACTTGAGGAAGGAAAGAATGAATGCAGGTGCACATTCCTCACAGTGGCTGAGGTCTTTTCAATAAAGAAGCCCCTTTCCCTCACAGTGATGTTGCTCATTTTCCTATCTGTGGCTTCAAGCTGTCTGTCTTATATTCCAATAAATTCATGTTCAAATTAAACTAACTGGAGTGGATTCTGTTGTTTGCAACTAAGAACCTTAACCGATAGTGTCCATGGAAATGGTGGTCCTTCTCATTATTCTGCAGAGCAGTTGTCACCTCCCTTTTTCCTGTCCTCAGACTGGGCCCTACCAGGTATAGGAAGCACACCCATTACAGCACCATCTACCTCTTAATGGCCACCCCAAGCTACACAAAAACCCGTGGGACAGACACCTCAACATGAAAGCTTTCGTTCCTTACTTCTTGGGCCAGGTCAAATTTGGGTGCACGTTGCTCTCCTGGACTCTCAGAAGGAGAAAAGAAGAAACATGGGGCTTAATTGTCCATTTTTCCGAGGCATCCCCTGGCCTGAGGTCACATGTGGGGAGGGGGCTTCTTACTACAGTTAAGGAAGGGCAACTACCCTTTCTGTGCGCCAGGCTCTGTGCTCGCATTTTGCCTGCATTCTTCGCTTAATCATCCTAAGAATCCTTCAAGGGAGGAAATGCGACATAGTGATGTCACTTAGCTGCCCTATGAGTTTCCTAACACAGGAGGTCCCAGCTCTCCCAAGTAGAGTGACTTTGACAATGTTTTCCTATTCCTGACTCTGGGAAGATGTGGGATGAAGGCACCTTTGGAGAACAGAGAGTATCTGCTTCACTACAGACGAGGAAAGTGAGTCACGGGGACCACAGCAAGTGTAGTATTTAAATAAAAAAGGATACAGATTGGTGCTGGTTCTGTTACTTCTTTGTAGTCTTGGGCAAATTTCTCAACATCTCTGAGCTTTACATTCTTTAATTATAAAATAAGGATAATGCTTGTACTTGCTAATGTCTCTAGCCAGAGACCACTAAAATCACTCCCGTTCCTAGTTGAACTAGTTGGGTTTATTACTCACTGCAGCAAGGAATAGGAATCACCTTGGAAAACAATATGGTATCTTATTAAGAGAATGTTAGAAAGAACTTACAGGACGTGGGCTTGTGCTGGGTGATTTTGGGGAGGATTTCAGGAAGCTGGCTTTCCTCTGGATGAATGCTGTCAGGAAGTGGGGCAGTTCTCCGAATGGGTATCTTTATCTTAACTCTAAGAAGGGAAGGCCAGATAGCAGTTAGAGCTGTATTTGGTAAAGCAGCACCAGTCACTTATATGAGGCAGAATAGGGGGATGCTTGGTCACTTGGGTGGCTTGTATAATTTAGCTGCTTTTGTCTGTGTTTAAACATGATTACAGAGTGTCCTATTTTTGTCATGATATATCATGGTCCCAGGATGGCCTTGTTTGATGTTGATGTCTTGTGAAATGTTTACATTCATCAGGAGAACTTAAGGCCAGTGATGGTGCCAGGTCAGCCCCCGAATCAGAGGTTGCTTTTCTCCTTCTCTATCAATCTCAGAGAATTATGGTGAGAATTAAGAGGATGTGATATTTGTAAAATGCTTTGCACAAGTGTTGAGACTAAGCCCTCAATGAATGACTGTTCTGATTACAATAATGGTAGTAACTAAGTTGCAAATTGTAAAAAATAATTTAATATATTAATAATTATTATTTTATAACAGTGTAATGGAAGAGGACTTATTACTAATTAGAAGAATTTGACTTCAGTAGGTATGGATATTGCTGTGTGATCTTGGGCAAGTCCCTTCACCTCTCTGAGCCACAGTTTCTTTCTTTGCAAAATAGGATTCTGGTATCTGCCTTAAGAAAAACACGGGTACTTTGGGAACTACATGGATTATGGTGCTGAAGTTCTTTGAATACTTCTGACCAACCCACTTTTTAAAAAAATTTATGTATAATTGATTTACAGTGCTGTGCCAGTCTCTGCTGTGCAGCAAAGTGACTCAGTTATACACACATAGACGTTGTTTTTTTTATATTCTTTTCCATTATGGTGTATCACAGGATATAATATAGTTCCCTGTGTTATACAGTAGGACCTTGTTGTTTATCCATTCTAAATGTAATAGTTTGCATCTACCAACCCCAAACTCCCAGTCTATCCCTCTCCTTCCCTGCCAACCCCTTAGCAGCTACAAGTCTGTTCTATGAGTCTGTTTCTGTTTTGTAGATAAGTTCATTTGTGTCATATTTTAGATTCCACATATAAGTGATATCATATGGTATTTGTCTTTCTTTTTCTGACTTACTTCACTTAGTATGATAATCTCTAGGTCCATCCATGCTGTTGCAAATGCCATTATTTCATTCTTTTTATGGCTGAGTAATATTCCATTGTATATATGTATCACATTTTTTTATCCATTCATTTGTCAATGGACATTTAGGTTGTTTCCATGCTTTTTGTTTTTTTTTTAAAGAAGATGTTGGGGGTAGGAGTTTATTTATTTATTCATTTTTGCTGTGTTGGGTCTTCGTTTCTGTGCGAGGGCTTTCTCTATTTGTGGCAAGCGGGGGCCACTCTTCATCACAGTGCGCGAGCCTCTAACTATCGCGGCCTCTCCTGTTGCGGAGCACAGGCTCCAGATGCGCAGGCTCAGTAGTTGTGGCTCACGGGCCTACTTGCTCTGCGGCATGTGGGATCCTCCCAGACCAGGGCTTGAACCCGTGTCCCCTGCATTAGCAGGCAGATTCTCAACCACTGCGCCACCAGGGAAGCCCGTTTCCATGTTTTGGCTATTGTGAACAGTGCTGCTATGAACATAGGTGTGCATTTTTTTTTAAGTCTTTTTGGCTATAGTCTTTTTTTTGATAAATTTATTTATTTTTGGCTGTGTTGGATCTTCATTGCTGCACGTGGGCTTTCTCTGGTTGCAGGGAGCAGAGGCTACTCTTCGTTGTGACGTGCAGGCTTCTCATTGCAGTGGCTTCTCTTGTTGTGGAGCACGGGCTCTAGGCGCGCGGGCTTCAGTAGTTGTGGCTCACGGGCTCTAGAGCTCAGGCTCAGTAGTTGTGGCTCACGGGCTTAGTTGCTCCATGGCATGTGGGATCTTCCCAGACCAGGGATCGAACCCATGTCCCCTGCATTGGCAGACGGATTCTTAACTGCTGTGCCACCAGGGAAGTCCCTGCATGTATCTCTTTGAATTATAGTTTTATCTGGGTATATTCCCAGGAGTGGGATCACTGGGTTGTATGGTACTTCTATTTTTAGTTTTTTAAGGAACCTCCATACTTTTTTCCGTATTGGCTGCATGGACTTACATTCCCACCAACAACATAGGAGGGTTCCCTTTTCTCCACACCCTCTCCAGCATTTGTTGTTATTTGTAGACTTTTTTTTTTTTTTTTTTTTTTTTGCGGTACGCGGGCCTCTCACTGTTGTGGCCTCTCCCGTTGCGGAGCACAGGCTCCAGACGCGCAGGCTCAGCGGCCATGGCTCACAGGCCCAGCCACTCCGCGGCATTTGGGATCTTCCGAGACCGGGGCACGAACCCGTGTCCCCTGTATCGGCAGGCGGACTCTCAACCACTGTGCCACCAGGGAAGCCCGTAGACTTTTTAATGAAGGCCATTCTGACCAGTGTGAGGTGGTACCTCATTGTAGTTTTGATTTGCATTTACAAAGATGCAAGCCTTTGTTTGTTGCATCATTAGCAAATATTTTCTCCCACTCCGTAGGTTGTCTTTTCATTTTTTTTTTTTTTTTATGGTTTCTTTTGCTGTGCAAAAACGTGTAAGTTTGATCAGGTCCCATTTGTTTATTTTTGTTTTTATTTCTATTGCCTTGGGAGACTGACCTAAGAAAACATTTGTACGATTTATGTCAGAATGTTTTGCCTATGCTCTCTTCTAGGAGTTTTATGGTATCATGTCTTACGTTTAAGTCTTTAAGCCATTTTGAGTTTATTTTTGTGTGTGCAGACCAACCCACTTTTTTTTTTTTAACATCTTCATTGGAGTATAATTGCTTTACAATGCTGTGTTACTTTCTGCTGTATAACAAAGTGAATCAGCTATATGTATACATATACCCCCATATCCCTTCCCTCTTGCGTCTCCCTCCCACCCTCCCTATCCCACCCCTCTGGGACGAAGTGAGAGAGTGGCATGGACATATATACACTACCAAATGTAAAATAGATAGCTAGTGGGAAGCAGCTGCATAGCACAGGGAGATCAGCTCAGTGCTTTGTGACCACCCCATTTTTAAAAGCACATGAGGTATTAGTTTCCTTTGTTTCCGGCTGCTTTTAGATTTCTTTTTTCTTTTTTTTTATACAGACTTTTTAAAGTCTTTATTTAATTTGTTACAGTATTGCTTCTGTTTTATGTTTTGGTTTTTTGGCCCCGAGGCATGTGGGATGTTAGCTTCCCAACCAGGGGTCAAACCCACACCCCCTGCATTGGAAGGCAAAGTCTTAACCACTGGACCACCAGGGAAGCCCCCCTGGCTGCTTTTAAAGTGTGCCACCCACTGCATTTTAAAAAAAAGAACAAATAGAATTTGGGGGGGATGTCACCTTTCATAAGCTCCCTCAGGAAATTCCTCAGTGCCCAAGGAGTGTCACGGTTTCCTGAAATGGTCCCTTTCTTCCTCAGAGGTCACCTAAAGCCCTTTTGCTTCAGTGATAGGTCTCACCCACTTCCAGTTCCTTGCCCACCCCATCCCACCCTTTATTTGACGCTCTGGTGTCTCAGAAATGTAGGTGGGATTGGGGGCTTCTGCTGATTCTCTTTGGGATCAGGTCACTTGTTCCTCAGCCATTAGGAACCACACTTTAAGGAAGGCACAGCCTGCCCCCTGGAGGCAGCATGAGGAAGTGCGCCCTCCACCTGAAGCTGCACACACCCCCTTCCCTGTGAGGCAGGAATATTGAAGTCTTTTGGTAGCTGCCTTTAAAAGCTGTTGTTGTACACAATGTAGGTTTATAAATCATAGGTTAACATGAATAATTAATTTAAAATATTTATTCAGCTACTGAAGTACACAAAGCTGACTCAGTCTCTTCTCTCCTGTAGTCCATTTTCCAGCAAGAAATTCTGAGATAATGTACAAATAAGAAATGTGGTCATAGGACTTCCCTGGTGGCGCAGTGGTTAAGAATCCGCC